CTTCAGTTCTTCACTGAGACTCATGTGACCTTACAGGACCATGCGATCGTCGAATGTTCAGGGTCAGTGCAGGCAAGTGAGATGGGAGCGGTGGGTGTGTGTAAGGACTCCTGACACCGGTTCTCCGGTCTCATGTCGATGGATTCGCAGGTGACTGGCTAAGTCATTCGCCGGAAGGCGGATGATGAAATTAGTTGCTGTTGTCCACTTTAAAAAGTCTGTTGCTGTCCTCTCGCTAAACATGGACGGATGGGTGGCCTCCTGGAATTTTGAGGCCGAACGCTATAGGAACTGTGACTTCTCCATCAGAAGAGTTGGTCCATCTTGTCTCAGTCCTTTTTGCTTGAAGACGTTAGACTACATTGATGGCTGCGAAGAAATCCTGCCTCTTACCACGGTCGGCATATTTGTGAATCTCCTCAGCTCCGTGTCACCGGCAGTCGCTCTGCATGCGCCTCGGCCTTCGATCTACTAAACATCGCCACCGGAAGTATGCCGTTGTTTGCGGTGTAGGTCGTGTGTAGTCTGATGGCCACAATTATTGTAGCACATGTAGGGGTGTGGTAGGACGCCTGGACCTAGGACTTCATGCCATGTCATCGTCTGTGCCTAATCCCAGCACCAACTTGTTGACAGGCTCTAACTGTCGATAGGTCCATAAAAGGGAAGAGGGAGTTAGATCAACACTGGGGAAACCATCCCTACGGTACGTTAGTGCACTCCGCACAATAATAAATCTAACGGGTTTGTTTCTATCACACCGCACTACGAATTGTGACTTTGAATGATGTTAACCGACGGGATAACTATCCTTCTCGGGGTTGGAAGTCAGGCCGTAATGGCCTATCATTACTGTGGTCTCTTACCGATGTGATATCATTGCCGTCCTTAAGAAAGGTTGATATCTGTTGTGGATGTCCAGGTCGTAGACTGTTCGTCTAATTTTGTCAACCACTTCGCCCAAGACCTCTCCTGGTCGTCTTGTCATCAGAGCCAGGCGATCGAGGAAGGAGAGTAGGGCGGATGCTGTGTAAGCCCGCCTCTCTATAAACTGATTCGCATTTGAGTCTCTGGTATTGTGCGCACTTCATGGGACACATGGTGAACCTCCCTCGCTACAGTCGAACTGTCGTGTAGCCTTATTTTTTCAGATATTAGATTTTATCGGATATCAGATTGGAGATCTCCTCATTTCCATCAAACTATTGCGGGCGTTGTCAAAGTATGCTGCCGGGGCTTCCATCGTGGTGGTCTGGGTAATATCCCTAAGCTCCTTCCGTTGGCTCTTGACATTGGTATGCGCCTCCGGGACTTGCTTTTGTTCCAGGTTTTATTTTGGTTGGCGTCCAGCCGTATCAAGCAATACAATAGTTAACTTCCTTGTGGTCACCTTCGCGGTTCCAGTGGGGCCTCGTTTTGGAGATGACAAGACGACGATCCTCCCAGGAGTCGGCACCGCACTTCGTCGTCGTGAGTACTTCACGTTGACTACGCCTCCGATCCAGGGCGCAATTCTGTAGATGCCGAAGTCGTGGGCGGAAAGGCATCAACATTTCCTTCTCTCTTATTGGGGGCGAAAGAACGCGATGGTCTGGCGAAAGCTGTGTCCCGTACGGGTCTGCAGTAGGAGGAAGTCTTTACTGTTGTAGCTGTCGATCCTGTGGCGACCGAGCGCTCCCTCCCAGACAACGTGGTCTGTGCCGACGCAGACATCGAAATCACCAAGGAAGACCAATTTGTACGCCTTTGACCGTTGCCAGGAGGGTTTACAGGTCTTTTTGAAACTTGTTCACGTCATTGGAGCTGGTCATTTTGGGGTGGGGTCATAAGCACTGAAGATGTCTGCGCTTTTCTTCCGAAAAGAGGCAGACGCGGTCTTGAGACGATCAGTTATGCCCCATGGCAGACAGGACAGTCGTCTCACGTCGTTCCTAGTGGTGACTGTGACTCGGGGATCTTGATACTCTGTGTTTGAACGTCTGTTCCAGAATAGTTGTACCGGGTGCAAAAGTCCTCTGACTGTCTCTGTTCGGAAAAGCGCGTCTCCCATGAGGTCCGCAGTGTCCGTCTTATGACGGGCCAGTTCCCAGGCGACCAAGGCTATCCTCCCTTCCGGTCGGTTTACCATCGAATTGTCTAAAAACGGACAAGCATTCCAAGCTATCACCTTAAGAGCAGCCTTTGCAGACTCACAAGGATTAGGATATTTTTGTATATTCATTCAACCTTCCTTCATCGTTCACATGTCGCTACCAGAACACAGATGACGTGTTTTTTCAGCAGTTCTTGGGGGACCTTTGCTAACCACCTCGAGGGTTAAGAAGTGCGATCCCTAAATGGGGCTTATTCATCCCACGTGACTACAGAATTTCACTATGGGTGACGGCTTTTGCCTAACAGGATGACCCGAGTTAGCCGGGGCAGCCTGCAGGATTAGATGTCGTACCCGTAGGAGATTTTGTTTGAAGTTGAGGGGGAGTTTAGAAATTAGCTCAGGGACTAACGGGTATAAAGACACATGCTGGATGCTTATGGTTTACCCTACCAGTCAAGGTCGGTCACCGTACTGAGCACGGCTTCGTGGAACCACAGACTAGGACTGGGTTCCGAGACGGGGTGATCTAGTAGTATCTACCAGGTTTATCAATGTATTTGGTGGGGGGCATCGGTTTATTGCCACCATCATGGCCATCCCTGCGCCAACAGGTGCAGATGGTGTCACCTATGCTATATCTTGGTGCTTGTTTATTGTCGGCAGTGTATCTGCGGTAGGGTATCCTCGTCATTGTGGAGTCTTTCAACGTCCATCCACCCGCGTTGACGAACCTTGAGTAACTGAGCCGCTGCAGCGTGAGTCTCCGCCCACAACACGCCGGGAGACCTAAACTATTCATATTAGATTGAATTTACTTAATTTTCGGTATCTAATCCCTTCTGTCAAATAATTCCCTTTTCACATGAAAGGTCTGTCTCAGTATCCTTGGCACTTGGACCGGACCCGAGTGGACGCCAGCTCAGAGTCTTTCATCTGTTTTAATCTCCATACAATCACTCATGAATCAAGAGCCATATTACAACGAACCTGGATTTTCAACTGAGCGTTTTCCCGGTGACTCGAAGCGTTACAATGACATTATCAGGCACGAGACCTTACGTTGTGCTGTCTGTGATGTCTTGGAACGAAAATTCTACATTCCTGATGAACTATACGTTGTTGCCTCAGAAGCTTTTAAAGATTACTATCAACACTTCGAAAGCATATGTGAGGCGAATTTAAATTACTCCGGCCAACAAATGAACGACCCCTTTGGCGAACGACGTGGAATCTTTCAGTACCACAACGTTCTGCAGCGTCTTCGTGCTCTGAAGGCCTCTTCAGCTGCCTGAACGTTTTTTTATATCGTCCTGCTTCTATTTTTCGTGATTTATATAACATACACTTCTCAAACTTTGCGCCACGGAGGTCCGTATGCGTCAACTTCCTGTGTCACTCACGACCGCCTTTACAACTTATTTTCTACACTTTTATGAATAACTTTGAGTATTATCCCTCTCAGCTTTCCTCTTGCCATCCCTTCGTTCATGTTTCATATCCTCCTGCAAAAAGTACTACAGCGCTAGTCAATTTTGGGAGCCCGTAGCCACGTTCACGTCCTTTTACTGTAAGCGCTGAAATTCGCTTGACATTAACTGAGATTCTTTGATGTAATTCCAGCCTAGGGCTGGGTTTACTCTTAGTTCCTTAACAACCCAATGCTGGCTTCTTACTGAATCGTTTTTAGCCATCCCGAAGATTTCACAGGAAAAAAATATGTCATGTAATTTAGCCGTGTATATTATGCTCTCGGTTCTTTAGGGCCTGTCCCACATAACTATGTTTGGTTCTACTAGCGTACAATTTACTTCTTGTAGTCATTTTGCACGAACTTGTCTCTTAAAAGTTAGTACTAAAATATACTGAATGTTTCAAAAAGTTTCATTATTTTTAGAAGACCCAACACGACTTGCGAGGACAGATGTAACAATCGAATGGATTTAGCACATGCTTCCATGAAGGATAAGACTGACGCAGTTTTGTTCACGCCGGCTAACTAGTGCTGAGTCACGGTAAGGGAGAAAAATTAGAACCAGTAAATCATCAAACACGGGCGCTTGTATGCGCGAATGTGGGAACGCTGGCTACGGTAGTAGTAAGTATCAACTGGTGTTTTTTCTGTGTAGTTCGCATTCGAGGGTGCAGTCCTCCGAACTTTGGGTCTGGGTCCCGACCCCGGCATGTGGTCCTCGTCTTCTGGACCGCTTGCTGTGCCATCGGCAAATGCCAGGCCCGTCCACTGCAGCGCAGTTA